ATTTTCTTCAGAAATTAAACGTTAAAGAAAAAATTAAAATTAGCAAATTTAAAGTAATTAAAATTTCATAATAAATACGAAATAATTTTTCATAAGTAAGAACATTGAAACTATCGAATACTTGATGATTTATTAAAATTGATAGTAAAATTAAACCTATATAGTTAGATCTGTGTATCACAACAAAATCTAATATTAATCTTGCCACGAGTATTTGTATGTTTTTAGTAACCCAAAAAGTCTGTAACTCATCATTTTGACAAGTTTGGTTCTTCCAATATTAAATTATTCGTGAACTGTTTATAATTGCTTAAAATAATTTGAAAAAACGAAGGATTTTATTCAGTGAGCTAATTTTTTGATTATTGTAATACATGTTCAGATAAATTAATTGTTAAAGTTTCTTATAAAATGATTAATGCTGTTCGTAATTGACGAATTGTCAATTAATTTTGTATTAATTAGAATATCAATTTGATTGTGTACATAGCTTATCGATTCAACTAACAATAAATTTAATTACAGAGAATTTGCTATTAAAAATATCTAGAAATTCTATATTGAATATTATTAAATGAAATTGAATTGATTAATTCTATATTATGTATAAAATTGCCACGAAACAAATTTTTTATAAACAACATATAAATTACTAAAATTCAAATCTGAATACATTCAACTTTTATCTAATGCATATTTATTTCAAATTTGTATAAAGAATTTATAATTAGCAATAATCAATCAATTAAAAGGTTTAATCGATCCCCAAATATTTATCATTCCACTTTATAACCAATATCCAAAATTTTTCACTTCTTTTTTTCTAACAATAAAACGAAAAAACAATGTATGAATTATGAGTAATTCTAAAAAATTCAAAATGAATTCTCCCGAAAGATCAAAGCAACCCATTTTTTATTAAATTATTTTCATCCACCATAATACAACGTAAATTTCAAATAGAAATTAAGTTTAAAAAGCAATCGAGCAAAATGAAATATATTTTTTAACAGATGTTCATCCGTAAAACGAATGCTGATCGAAGCCTCGCCCAGACCTTGGTGCTATTTTAAAAGCACATCAGTGCTTCAATTCGATTTCTCGAATCTATTCTAGCCAGCAAGAAACGACGATTTATCGTCTTCGAATCGATTGTACATCCTTCCAATCGATCCGCCAATTTCAAATCGATTATCGACCAAGAATAGAAACGTGGATAAAAACGATTTTACTTTCTTTTTTTTCTTTTTTTAAAAAGTTACTGTTTCGTAATGCAATATGAGCTATAGATGCTCCTATTTGTTCGACTTAAACACTTTCATTTTGGGCGTCAAAAAAGACAATTATCCATCTTCATTTAGAGGAAATCCCTTAGGCTATGACGTTCCATATTTGTTCTTTTTTAATTGTTTCCGCGATTTGTTCGACATTCGAGTCATTCGATTGTAGAAACTAATTTTTTTTTTTCGAGATTCGATGCTTGAAATATTTTATTTTTAAGAATATATATTTATAAGTTATAAGAGATTGTAAAAATATATTTCTATCGATTATTGACTAATATTTTGCGCAAGATGATTTTCGAAATTATTAAATAATTTTGTAAAAAAATAATCGTGCGGAAAGTAAACCTTTATAACTTTCTGTTCCAAGTAAAGTAAATACCTTTTGATTGATCACTTCAGTGGCGATAAATTAAATATAGATATGTTTACTCGACAATCAATCAATTATATTAATATTAATATTATTTCCACTTGTTTGACATGGCTTTATTTTTAATTTCCATAATGTGATTCATAAGCATGATTTATGCAGAATACGAGTTTCGAGGAAAATGACTAAACTCTCGAATAGAAGAAGTTTCCAACTTTTATTCTATTCTAAAAAAAAAAACTTCCTTTCTCCCTTTACCTTTACCAAATTTCAAATCTCCCCGCACGAGCAACATTCTTCGAATACAAAAAAATCCTTGGCCTCCAGTTCGACGAAATTTTTCAAAATCAAGATCGAGGAACGAAAATTAATTAATTAACCGGAAGAGGATCGCCATTCTTCGACGATTGGAGGAGGAGGAGGGATCTAATGTCAATGTTCGATTCTCCGATTTCAACGTTTCTGTCCCCTTCGTTCTCCGGTTTCAACGTTCCCCGAAAACTGTATCCAACCGATGAAATTTATGCGAATGATAATTCAACGTCTTCCCTCGCGACACGACAATGATAATAACGATGGGAATGATTTAGTCGGAATTACTCGAGGAGGGAAGGAGTGCACGTGTTCCTAACGGATTAATACTTCAAGACGGCCAAAACTATGTCTATCTTCGACACGTCTATATGGAACGTCCGGAGGAGAGGGACAGCGGGCTGAAATTATCCTCTTGCCAAGCCCAACCGATCCGAACCGAGTTATTATTGAAAGCCTTCCGCGAGATCCCGGCCGGCGACGTGTTTAAATAAATATTTATCCACGCGGCGCGAAACCGATTTGCGAAACCGATCTGGACATGATCGAACTCGTTGTTTTCACTCGTCGAAAATACTTTTCCTACTTTTCGACCCAGGTGAAACCTCGTGGAGAAATTTCGTCTCGTTTTCGTTCTTTTTTTGAGAAATATCTATTTTCGAATAACAACGATGAATATTTTCTTAGGGTTGAAATTGATTTAGAGAAATTTGGTGTTTGTTGAGAGAGAATTTTTATCCTTGCTTCGATATTTGCTTCGAGGATGGAAATTTTGTATTCTTGCGGAGAGAAAATTTTTAAGAAAGATCGAATTTGATTGTTTCTAAAAGAGAAATAAATCGAATGAAGATGTGTATACCAAAGTTACTTTCTTTTCATTTCACTGAAAAACACGATTCTCAAAGGAAAATCGGTGAAGGAAGCGGCCAAAACACGAGCGGATCGTGATCGACAAACAAATCTATCGCGTAAACCTTGTCAGGAAACGAGGCATCGCATAATCGGCGCGGGACAAAAGGCGATTATCATTAATCGGAAGTCCCAATCGCGAGAGATTCTCGGCGGGGCATTCATCGGCCGGATTTACGCCACCTCCCCCATCTTCTCGTTTCGTGTCCGTTGCCAGATCTAAAACCGTCGTCGTACCGACAATGACGTAGAATCCGAGTAAATCGCGCCCGTTGTCCGCTCATTTTGCATTTAAACGCCGCGCCGCCCGACTAATCTTTCTTATCCCGCGCCGCGTGTCGCTTCGCCGCGTCGATTTAATTTCGTGCCCGAACTACCCTTTTGTCTTTTAAAAGCTCGACACCACCCTCAATGGATCGCACAACTTCGTTGGAAATCGTTCCAATTCCTTCCTTGCCCCCTCCCCCAATTTTAAATTGAGAAAAGAAGGAAGCTGGAAATTTCGCATGGAATCGCTCGTTTCTATTTTCGCCCCTCTCTTATTCTTTCTCTTTCTCTCTTTTTGTGTAGGATTTCTTGAAGAACGCGGTGTTTCGTTTGTTGTTAGAAAAAATGTTTCTCGTTTCGTTTACCAATGTAAATCTTTGGGAACGGACTGTGAACATTAAGGGGATGGAAGGTTTCTTTTTCTTAGATTCTTAGATGGTCTGTTTGGAAATGGGCAGTGTAAAACGTGGTTTTATCGATGCCTATAATTTCGTAATTTTTAGTTCTGAATTAATAAATAGATTATAAATTAAAAATCGTGGACAATCGTGTCCAGTTTACATTTGGTTTCGAATCTATGTTTATATATATTTTCCTCGATACGTCGATTTTACGCATTAGACTTGGATAAACTGAATTAGATTTGAATCATATTATGTGTAATAAAATCTCGAATCATTCCAAATATTATCAAATAATTATCGAAATTTATAGAATCTCTAAAAACCTAAACTTATCATTAAACTTATCCTCTAATTTTATTATCAACAACTAATAAAAATGATATAATCATAGAAAAATATATATAAAAATTTTCACACATGTAAATTGACTATGAATTTTAAATATTTATATATTATTATATTTGTTGTTGTATATAAATTTATATACTATTAAAATATTCTTTAATTTTGCACAAATATTGAACCAAACGAATGGCTAATTTTACTTAGAAATATATAAAAATAAAAAAATATATAAAATAAATGTATAAAATAAAGTTATACAAAATAGTTATATAAAGAGAATAAAAATTGCGTCAATAATTACCATTTAAAATTAGCCATTAAACCAAAAATTTGTGCATTTCAATTTATGGCATCTTTGATCCGCCCACATTCGATAATATTTTTGATCTATATTTATTACGTAACTAGTAAATACTAAAGTCTGTTAATTGCATGTAACTTGGCTAACTTCAAATAACTCTCAAATATAAATTACATCTAGTCAATAAATATCATTAATCATTAAAATATATATCTGTAATATATCTTATAAAAAAGAAATCATGAAATAAAATATGTTAATTTTAAAGAAAAAAAGTATTCACGATATAAAGCAGCTAATGCCAATGAAAGTTCGGAATTCTGTTTTTATATACAGTTTATTCATTGCTGGACACGACGGATATTATTAAATAAAATTATGCGCAAAATAAAATCGATAAATAAATCGCAGGAAAATTCATGAATCGAAATAAGTCGATTTCGCCCAGTCATCCTTGACGAATATATCAAAATAAACCGAGATTTTCGACTAAGCGTCGTCGAACAGAAGTCTGGGCGTTTATTTTTGGCGTACACGAATCGTATTCCCAAAAAAAAAACGCCTTAAATATCCATGCATTCTTATTCAACGTTCCAATCGTTATTCGATTCGATCATATATTTATTGATATACCGTCATCTATTATCGTTACAATTATTTATGAGAGCTAAAGTGAACAAACATAATTCGAAATTTAAGGCGATGGAGAGAACACGACGTGTTTGTAATAAACGCCCACGTCAGGGCGTCACGACGAATCTCAGTTACCGTAATCGCACGTGTCACTTAAATATGTCGTCACTTACTTCTTGGATCTTGTAGCTGGTCCGAATCGTCTTTCGTTTGGTAGTTGTAACCTCGTAAGTCTCCTCGACGGTGGGCGCCTCGTCGTCTTCATTGTTATTGCCATTGTTTTCGTTGTTGAAACCATCCTTGTTGTTCCCTGACAGAGTGTCAGGATTGAGGACGTCCATAGCATCCATTCCCGCGTTTTCTGTATCAGCTTCCAGATTGAACAATCGTATCAACGAACTAACCGTTCGAGAAAAATTCGAAGCGTATTATCGATATTTCGATCAACGTTCGATTGATACGTAAATAACACGGGAGAGGGTTATGTACACCGAGAATGATATGAATGTGAATGAATACGCCCGAAACGACTGTAAATTGGCTCGTACAACAAACACGCGAAAAACTTCGATGAATAACTGACGAAACTATTCCAGGATCGACGAAGTACTGCACGAAGCGGAGAGACTAACCGTACTAAAGCACCACGGTTTGAGAAATCCGTCGCGAACACGTTCCCGCGCGCCTTTCAACGGCGAAAATAGATTCTCAAATTTTCCCGAAGCAAGTGCACGCGTCGTGACTGTGTTAAATTCGTTGTTCACCACTGCGATAAATATTTTGCCACAAATCACGATTCGATCAGAATCACTATTCTCTTTGGTACAACTGTATTCGGTGTCTTCGTTTAAAATTATTTCTTACGACTGATCACGTTCGAACATGTCTGCAAGGAAACGCGCCATGAAGCCATACAATTGACACTTGCGAGACTTTTATCGATTATCGAAAAAATCGAGTGTTGCGATATACATGGCTTCCCTCGGTGTTAAAATCCTACTTGCTTATTTCATTCTCTTTTCTGTATTCATTTATTTATTTTATTTACATTTTTTGTGTATTGTGTGAAAAGAAATATAATTGTGATGAAAATTTGTGATGAGAATTTGTGATGAAGAATTAATAGTTCGCAAGTTGAAAAGTATAACTCTGAATTCAATAATTCAATTAACGGTAGGAAATTTAAAAATTTTATTTTAAAATAATTTCTTCTATAATATATATTTAAATAAATATTGCTTCTCTTATTCCATATGTAAATTGTTTCGTATCATTTTTTTATTTTATAAATGAAATTTATTTTGCAATGAAATCAATTTGCTTATGTGTTAGAAAATCAAAAATTGCCAATCGCGTGTATTACATTGTCAAAGTTTAGGCATTCATGCCATCTGATGGTAGTTAGGTTAACTAAAATCATCGAACAATACACGATTAAAAATGTTTCAATTATGTATTTAATATTCATCAGTCAATAATATTCGTTTCTTTCTCTTAATATTAATACAACTATTTGTTCGAGATATAAATATATTTATAAAAATCACAGCGAAGTCAATAAGGCATATTCGAACGCAAACACATATTCACAATACATTTTGTTGCGTCCATTTAGCTTAATGTGTTCAAATAAGCGTAACCTGCCAATAATTTTATTATAACACGAAGTTATTAAATAAAAAGATGTATCAACAATTTTTTATAATATCAAAGTCATTGATTGATTCATTCATATAAATGTATCCAGAAAGATTTCTTTTCTCGTAATTATGAGTTTATTTAGTTTATCTCATGGGTTTTCAATTTCAATAAATCTTGAGGTCTGTAAACTCCAACTTCTGTAATAATGCCCTTAATGAGGTTAGCCGGAGTTATGTCAAATGCTGGATTCCAACATTGTATCCCAGGTGCTGCGATTCGTTGATCATTTATATGAGTTAATTCCCTTTCTGGTCTTTCTTCAATAATAATATGATCACCACTAGGAATACTGAAATCAATAGAGGTTCTGGGAGCTGCTACGTAAAAAGGTACATTGTGATATTTAGCAACTATGGCAATCTAAAAAAACAAAATAAAATTAATAATGTATGCAATAAATATTTAAAAAATCCCAATTAAGACGATTGTTGCATATATTACTTGATAAGTTCCAATTTTATTAGCTGTATCGCCATTTGCTGCAACTCTATCTGCACCAACAACTACAGCAGAAATATTTCTTGACTTCATAAGTGCTGCCACCATGTCATCGCAGATAAGAGTAGCTGGAATATTTTCATATACTAATTCATATGCAGTCAATCGTGCTCCTTGATTATATGGTCTAGTTTCAGAACAATATGCTAATTCTGTAAGGGTAATTAGTACTACACAATTTTATCATTTAAGACATAAAAATTAAAAAATATGCAAATATTACCAAGACTATTTTTCTTGTGAAGCGATCTTATAACACCTAAAGCTGTGCCATAACCTGCTGTTGCAAGGCTACCCGTATTACAATGGGTTAAAATTCTAACAAAATTATCCCCAGATACATTTTTTAAAATTTCTTGAGCTCCATAATCTCCAATAGCTTTGTTATCTGCAATATCCTTTTCTAACATAGCTTCTATGGCTTTGATAAACCTATAAGCATTATCATTAATAGTAATGATATCAAAGACAATTTAATTTTGCTAGATTTAAACCAATTCTTATACCTTTCTTGCATTTCTATTACATTAACAGTCTCATCTTTACTGAGTTTATTAGCCAGTTGAATTAATTCATCGGCCGCTATTTTCATATTTACTGCTGTTGGTCTAGCAGAGACCAAGTAATTTAATTTGCCTTCAACATCTTGTCGAAGACTCTTCTTGTCAATATATTTTTCATTCTTGATCTCTGTTGCCAAACTTAAACAACCCACAATAGCAATAGCTGGGGCACCTCGAACCTATGTCAAAAAAATAAAAAAATATCAAAAAAAAATCAACTAATAAAATACAAAAAATCTTTAATTCTCTCTACTGAAACAATAATAAATCGACTCACGGCAAACGATTTAAATGAACTAATTCTTCCAATTAAAATTTTGTTCGCGCGAATCAAATTACTATAGTTTTCTTTATTGCAATTTAACTATTCAAACGCATTTAGCTTTTTATTGTTCGTCAATCGAAGCGTTGAAATGTCATATCAATTCATATCTTTCGCATTTATGCCCGTACACAACCTACATTTAACGCGAACAGAATCGACGCGACATAGATCGAAATAAAAATTTTCACCCTTCATTCAATCAATAAGTAATATACCTGCATATTATTGATGACTTTCCAGCCGTCCTCCACACCTCTGACAGAGATATACCGGGACATTGCCGGTAGTAATATTTGATCAAGTATTTCTAGCTTGCCATTTTCCCATTTAATCGCTTGAAGCGTCATTTTAATCCGTCAAATATGAACACGTGTCTTGTGAGGCACTGAGTGACAATATACTTGCAGATTCGAGACGCGGTTAACAGAACCGCGGCTTCTTAGTTTCTGAATGAAACGAGACTCCGTTCATTTGAAGCTCACGTGTACTTCGAATGGCCGTGAAGCCTATCGTAACGACACTACCGACGTACTGTGAAGGTATCACGTGTACAGACGTATCTTGTGCCTATGTATGAATTAGCCCCGCATTCAGCGCTATCTGTCGACGTCTGAACTAACTAAACACCCTCTTTAAGCGGAAGTCTTATTGGACAAATTATTCAATATTATTACGGTAATCCTAAGAAAATGTATGTACAACGAAGCTTAGAAAATCTTTAAGAAATCTAGAAATATCTAAAATAAGTCAAACAATATTTGGGAAAAAATAAATAGCATTTTTTATTAATAACTTTGATGCTATTAATGAAACTCACGATATAAATTTGTTACATTTATTTCAAAAAAATTAAAAAAAAAA